TATATAAAGGCATTTTAAAACCTTCCCACACTCTTGTAATATTTTAAACAATGTTTCTAAACTCTAAATGCTCTAAGAGCACAGCATGTCATGATTTCAGCTCTACGCCTCCTGCTAGCGCTCTTGGCCACGCCCACTTCTCCACTGCAGAGTGGGCTGCTCACAAAGGCGCAGGCGGTGCTAAATAATTAAAAATAATTTATTTAAATAAAAATTCCATGCCGGTCGTGCGGCTCATCCATCAATTTTAGGCTAAGTGTTTTTCAACAAACCAAAAGTAGGCGTGAAACTGTTTGGACCACGAAGCATCGCAAAGAATTGACTTTGAGCACATGAGTAACTGTAAAAAAGGTCAATTGTACACCACATTTGTGGAGGTAGACCACAATGCATTGCGTCCTGCACTGACACAGCAGGCTAATCGAAGCTAATGCTAACACACATGGCTCATGATGCTGTTAAATATCCAGACATCCTTAAAAACATCTCGTCTCCTCCTCTGTCTGAGCTGCCGCGCTTAAAAAAAAGTATGAACTGTGCATTGAGCCCGTTTTTAAGATTTTGAATCTAAATTTGAAACATATTAAAGACTTGTTGTGAGGGGGGAGCGGTGGCGCAGAGGTTAGAGAAGGTAGGCCTGTGATGAGATGGTCGCCGATTCGACTCTCCGGACCGACAACATCAAAATGTAGGTGGAAAAGGTTAAACACTTGCCTCCACCCTCATTTGCCCCACTTTGGGCCCTTGAGCAAGGCCCCTAACCCCCACCATGTGCTCCCCGGGGCACCCTAGATGGCAGCTCTCTGGTCTGTGGTTGCGTCAAGAAGAACATCCAGTGTAAAATTACCCAGTCTTTGTGCGAGTTAGGGAGCATGCCGAAAGAAGAAACAAATTGAAGATTTGTTGTAACCCAGGTGGCATGGTGGCTCAGTTGGTACAGCTGTTGCCTCGCAGCAAGAAGGTTACCGGTTCAAATCCCAGCCCGATACCTTTCTGAGTGGAGTTTGCAGTTTACATGTTCTCTGCATCCACAAGAGTTCAGCTCATTTGAAAAATATTCACACGTTTTAAAAACTATGTTATGTGTAAAAACGATACAACAGAAAAGTGTACCTGATATGATAAAATCAGTATGCTGTCATTACTTTAGAGAGTCAGATGTGTATTCCAGTGTACGCAGCATAGTATACTTTATATTTACTGTACTGTACTCATTACTATATTAAGTGTTGCACTCAGTTAGTACTAGAAATGCAGAAACACCACTGTCCGTCACAGTCAAACAGATTGTTTCATTCAAAACAACTTTCTCATGACTGGTGGGGAAATAAAATTATTCAGTCAAGTTTTATTTATTAAATTTTTTACTCATTTTTAGCAGAGTTAACTTGTGTTTGATGCTATATGAAAAACTAAGACACCTACAGGAAATATGTGCGAACAGAAGTGTCAGTTTTTCAAAATAAAATACTGTAGTTATAAAAAGTATTCATAGGTTGTTTTTTCATTTTTATGTTTTCTTGTTCTGTGTGGTACGGTACCATATAATCCATAAACTGGTACAGTTGGCTAAAAACCACTGGTCTACTAGTGAACGTTTTCAACGCGGTTTTATAATGCACCTTGATTTTACTGTTTATAACTCTACTTTTTTAGTTTTAATTGCATTTTGTTGTTTATTGTTGTCTATGCACTGTACGTTATCTAAAACATATTCTCTCTTGTAAATGAGTCGTGCCTCAATGAGACTAACCGGTGTAAATAAAGCTTGAATTGAAGTGAACACGGTTTTAGTGGGTAATTTATTTATTCACTATTCATTTCCACTCATAGAAATACTTTTTAAAACACCTTTCAGAACTGACCATTATGACTAGAAGAAATGTAATTAAACTGGTTTGATTGTATGTTATAACGGACAGCCACATTTTGATTATATTTAACAACGGCATGCCAAACCGGGTGCACGTCTCATTCTGTTATGTCTGGTTTTACAAATGTTAAATCTTATCCACAATTCCCGAGTGTTTTCTTACTGTTTGGACACACTACTGAACTGAAAAACACTTTTTCTGCCGATATTTATAAAATACTCTGATAATTAACTTCCTGATGCGCGCGATGACAGAGAAAGTAAAAACGGAGCCTACTCGGAGCAGGAAAGGAGTCCGCTTCGGGCCGGACTAGCTGCTCCTCTCGGTGCCGTTCAGGACCAGGACCGGGCTGAGCTGGGCTCCATGGTACCGTCGAGTCCGTCCGGATCGATCCTCGGGCCTTCAGCGGGGCTCACCGGAACAAAAAGCCCGGTGTTGTTGATGCAGCAGGCCCGCTGGAGAGGCGGAGACAAAAACGCAGGTGCAGCTGTTCAGAACCGGATCTCGGTCTTTCTTGCGCTTTCGGTTTCCACAGCTGCTCGTGTTTCTGTCGGCGGTCAGAGGGGGGGGGGGGGGGGGGGATCCGTGTCACTTCTGTGTCCGCTGGGTGTTTGTGGCTGTGGGCCGCGGATGAAATGGCACCAGGAGGGGCAGCATCATATAGCCTGACTCATCCCGCATCAGTACCACTACCGTAAAGGAGCGAGGAGAGTCGCAGCACAATTCACTTCAGACGGAAAGCAGTCGCCCCCCAACGACGAAGTTACTCGAAATATCCACAAATATGTAGTTTTAGACATAGATCTATGGTTTTAGATGTTATGAAACGTATGACGAACCAAAACAGGGGAGTTCTTCAGCTTCAACACAAAACACCGGGTTTGTAAATGCCAGAAAACGAACAAATGTCGTAAATTTTGCAAATAAATACGGGTTTAAAGCTGTGCTTAAAAAAAAAACCCTAATGATGAAAACATATCTGTGGTTAACTTGCACAGAGAAGAAAAACGCTTTTCAGTGGCATCTTTTTATTTTATTTAAAGTGCCTATTTTTGAGGAACATTAGCAAACTCACTGCTGCCCCTCAGCTCGTGCGGCACTGCGCAGTCGCACAACTGTCACCGCTGGCGCTCAGACAGGTGGGAATTGTAGTTTTTACATGACTGCAGCGCCAAACAATAAGAAACTTGTACTTTAGGTGAGCGTGTTTCTACACACAATGTAATATTGTGAGTTTTCATGTTGTAAATTATTAATACTTTTGATGATGGGGCCATCTCGGTGTTTTTTTATTTTTATTTTTTTTTTAGGTTTGTGGTTAAGTTGGGGCAGAAACTGAACAGGAGAGCCTCATGTAAAAAAGGGTGCATGCGCACAAAAACGTGGCGTACGTCCTTTTTCACTCAAAACTTCAGAGGTATCAATGAAATGACCATGGAAATGCACATCCCCATGCCAACTTCATGGCACGTTGCTATGGTTACTGGTCCATTGGTGACACATAGAGGTGATATTGGGAAACTGTTAATGATGTGAAAACTATAATTGTGCACACAATACAGCCACATGTATGTAATTATATGAGTGGATATAAAGGCATACACAAAGTGGTGCAGAAAATACCTTTAACAACAAGGGTAGCCCTGTTAGAGGATATAGAACATGGTGCAATACGCAGAGAGCGTGTACTGGTATTTAAAGACAGAGTATTTTCTGGCCCATGATGACGACTGGCTCATCAACTGTTTTAGGCCTCCAAGGCCAATCTATAGCTGCTGACCACACGGGGTTCCTCACAATAGGGGCATTCCAGAGGGAGCTGGCAGACCTATCAGGACGGTGCCAGTTGACCCTGAGCTGAGTCCTGCCGACTGTGTGGGATGGAGTTATTCAAATGTCATCCAGGTATATAAAATTCCCTACAATGCAGTTGAACAGGCCAACATGAAAGTGCATTTTGCAGTGACAGATAGTTTTCCTAAAGTAATCGGAGCTATCAACATGCACACACATGGCAATCAAAGCACCATCACAGGATGAATGGGTTTATGTTAACAGGAAGTATTTTCATTAAATCAATGGGCAAATTATATATATATATATATATATATATATATATATATATATATATATATATATATATATACATATGCCTACCTGCATTCAGGTACTGTTACCGCAATCACAGGTTTCATCACTTCACAAAGAAGAAAGAGACTGATCGGCCTGAAACTAAACATTTGCATCTATTTGACAAACTTTCTGGCTGTTCTGATCAACTCAAATCAAAGTTAAAAACCTAACAATAAATAAAATGTTCAGATGAAGTGCCATGTCCAACTGGATTAATAATTTATGCTGACTAGATACAAAGTCCGGGACTCAATTGTATGCATCATTTCTGATTTTGACCGTGTCCGTCAGATTTTACAATAATTTTGCTTTTGACTTTGTTTCTTTGAAAGCATAAAATACAGAAATGTGCTCTCAGCTTATGTTATAAAATGGTAGGTAACACTTAGTTCATCACTCAGAACAATTCACACTTTTCTCTGGTTTTCCAGCTTGCAACTGGAACTATTTAGTTGGGTTGATGTCATTCCCAGAACAGAGTCCCGACATCTGAAGCCGCCATAAGATCGTCCTCCATGTCACTTCCAGTGTTTGTGCACGTGAAATACTGGAGCGACACGAACATTTATATAAAATGGTATAAATCAATGCAGCTGCTGTTGTTCCATCAGACCAGATTAGTTTTGTTTCAGTCAATTCCAAATTTTCATTCAAAAAGACTGCGATTAATTAAGATAAAAGTTTAGCAGTTTCAGATAATTACACTGATTTAATTAATCGAAAATTAAAGTAATGTCAATGGCCTCAAGTACCCCTCCCTGGGCTGCCACCTTACCGTGGTGGAGGGGTTTGAGTGTCCCAATGATCCTAGGAGCTATGCTGTCAGGGGCTTTATGCCCCTAGTAGGGTCACCCATGGCAGACAGGTCCTAGGTGAGGGACCAGACAAAGTGCAGCCCAAACACACCCCTATGATGAAAAACACAAATGGACCTAGTGTTCCCTTGCCCGGACGTGGGTCACCGGGGCCCCACTCTGGAGCCAGGCCTGGAGGTGGGGCACGTGGGCGAGCGCCTGGTGGCCGGGCTTTTACCCATGGAGCTCGGCCGGGCACAGCCCGAACAGGAGACGTGGGTCCCCCTTCCCATGGGCTCACCACCTGTGGGAGGGGCCAAAGGGGTCGGGTGCAATGTGGGATGGGTGGTGGCCGAGGGCGGGGACCCTGGCGGTCTGATCCTCGGCTACAGAAGCTGGCTATTGGGACGTGGAATGTCA